AAGTCCCTTTTGCATGTAAATTTATGGCTTTTTCCTTTTCTTCTGAGGAGTAAACAGGGTTTGGCTATAGATTCCGGGTTGGTACTGCTACCAGTACTTCAACCGGCCCTACTGGTCTTTTTGAAGTCTCTTTGGCTGTTTTGTCTGCAAACCGGTTCAGTCTTGCTTCTGGGGAGTCCCCTTGTCTTACATACGTAGAGGTGGAAATACTTAGTTACATCTGGCAGTGCCAATGGGCCCATCGTCCTTGCTCTGCTTATGTCTGACTAACTGCCTACTATATTACCTCAAGGATCCTGGCTCTGAATTCTTTCAGAGAAAATGGACATTGAATTTTTTTCTGTAGCTGCTTCGTGCTGAGGAGGGACGGAGTTTTCTCTCAGAGCCAAGAGATCCTTGCTGTCTGTCAGAGGGACGATGAGGCATGGGCCCAGAAGGAGGTGGGCTTGTGACCTGGAGGAGACAAACTGTAACAAATAGTCTGGTGGGAGAGAAAGAAAACATTTCAGTTTTAATAACCTCCATTGAAATAGAGTTTTTCTCCTTAAAATTATCTCTCTGTTTATTAAAATACTAATTTATTTACTGTATTCAATTTGGCCTGATTGTTTGCATAAACACGACAAGAATGGTAACTGACTACCTTTGCTGGAATTTTATGATTGAATCTTAATGTGCCCCATAGGGCCAGGAAGCCATGCCATCTAGCCACCATCAGGCCTGCCTGCAGTATCTGCTGAGTTAGGTGAATTCCCCACCTGCAGTGGCTCTGCCCGGGCCCATTGTCCTTGCTTTAAGGCCCTTCTCAGCAGCCTTCCAACTCGTTGCTGCCCAGAGTGCATGGGGGTTCTGCAGGGATGCAGAGGTGCCCTTATTGCTCCTCTTCTACTCTGACCAACCACAAGTGATGGTAGGGCATGGGCCTGACGCTCCAGCGCCAGCTATTTTCAGGGCTACCAAGCAAGATACCAGGCTTTCACCATGGTACTCTTACTGGCTTCAAGTGTTCAGAGCTCAGATAGGGCTCTTTAAAATATGATACTCCAGTCAAAGTTTTTGGTCAATAAAACCACTATTAGAAACCAGTCTTATTGAATTTATGCAAAGAAATGTATTGCCATGAATTAAGTATTGCCAAATTTCGGAGGAATTACATAAGAAGAAAAAGCTACTGACCTGCCTTAAGATCTTCTGATTATCCTTGTCAGTCCTTTTTATGGACTCTTCAAAGAAATATAACTGTCTTTAAATGGCAAGAAGAAATTTACAATGTGTCTATATTCAAATAGATAGTTATAGCTGTCCCTGTAGTACGGCTCCCCTTACTTGACTTGTTCTCTCAGAACGGACTAAGGGAGCTTTATTTTTTTATAGGGTCTCATATGTCACAGGACCTCACAGGGTCTGTAATTCCTGTAAAAAAGGGCTAGTACCCACCACTTTACTACTTCCCTCTGTTCTGAACAGTTTCCTAGAGTTGAGGTTTGTGCCACCCCTGACATGGGCATGGTCATACAGGCTGCCAACTGTCTCTCAATGGAGACCAAAACCTGATGGGTATTCTTCTTTGTCCATTTGGGCACCTGCCCTTCTGACAACTGCATTTAAATCTGTGAGAGAATTAAGGTTAATCTAATATATCAATATAATGAGGTATAATATGATCACTGTGGCTACTTTAGGCAGCCAAATTTTCTGCTACCATATATGACACATGGTAGGGCTATATAACCATACGGCAAAATTGTCCTTGTCTCTCTGGAGCTGTGTCCATGAATATTCAGACATCATCTAAGTCTATTATACAGTTTTCTGCAGGCCACTGTCAGGGCTATATGTTGAGGCAAGTTATTCTTTCTAGCCACAAACACAGTCTGTCCAATTTCCCTAAAATGTATTCTGCTACAGGAGAAAGTTGTTTTGCTGTATATTGTCAGCTTAACCCCTATACAACTGGGCTGGGACCTCTGTCTAGCAAATTGCAGTCTATAAGTTCAATATGTAGCTTCTGGTCCTCCGAACCCAAGGGGGTCTTGACCAGTCTCTGAGTCAGACTGTTCCATTCTTGGAAAAATGTTAAAGTCCTGATGGCTCCTAGGTCCAGGGAGATTGCCATTTTCTTTGCCCTTTTGTTAACCCTGTTTATTAGTTATAGGGCCCTGCTATCCTTGTCTTCCCTCCAGTACCCTTTGTGGCAGAGCAGTGACCAGGCCTTTCCCAAAGGAGTGCACTGGAAGGGGTTATCATCCCCTCCTCTTCCAGCAGCAGCAGGTACTGAACCCTTTCAGTACATTTGCAAATAGGGAGCTTCCACTAGCTCTATCTGCAGCTTTCATAGATCCCAGGCTCACGGATCTATTCCTGGGGCTGCAGGAATGCTAGTAGCAGTCACTGGTTTCTGGCTTAACTGCTGTAGCCAGCAAGCCAAATGCCCAAGTCTTGTATCTCTTGTTGTAAAACACTCATTACTCACTGGGCAGAAACATGGCAGCTCTAGTGTCAGGAAAATTTCTGCTGTTCCCCACTTTTTGTGCTGCAGCTGCTTTTTTTAGAACCACTGCAGGCAACTCGGGCATCCAGCCCCACCTTCGTTGACCTGGCTCTTGGGGGCTGAGTCTGCCTAGCAAACAGTGCTAAATCACCAGAGTGGCTGCGGACTTCAGCTCCATTTCTCTTCCACTTTGCTCCTGGGAATTTAGTTGCTTTTTTTAATGTATTAGAATTCTTTATTATTAGAAACCTCAATCCTTTAATGACTACTAAAAGTGAACAGTCAGCATTTTTAGATTAATGTTTATGAACACATTTTAAATGTACTTTTACTTTTAAGAAAATATACCTAGACCTTCTGTGATAAAACTAAGAACAGGTATTGACCTAATTTAGTATTGGCAGGGTTAAAGAGAACAAAACAGGGCAGAGAAAAACTTACCTTGCTTAGTAGCAGCTTGCAGCCTTGAGTCCAACATAGTTCAGATAAGTAAAACTATCTGTCCCTGCTCTCCCTGCCTACACCTCCCCCCTTTTCTACATTACCCATTTACTCTGGCCTTAGCTGCTCTCCCTCCCTTATTTTTCCTCTTTACTCTTAGAGGATCTTAAATCCTCCTCTACTACTCTTGATCTCTCCGACCAATCCCCTGTCCAGTTCTTTGTCTCCCCTTAAACAGTGGGAGTTTCAGAGAAAACCACAGACTACTGCTGTAGTGGTCCTCCCTCCCAGAGGCTGGGATCCTACCTGTGGAGAAAAATGACTCTTTGTCGGCCGGGAAAGATAGCGGATGAGGATAAGGGAGTATAGGAAGATTTCTTGCAGACTGAAAGCCTGGAGGGCCTCCTAGAAGAAAAGATCTTTAATTCAGTTACAGATGCTGTCAGAATCAGGATAAGGGAGGAAGGGAAAGACCAGGTTATATCCTCTGTGAGGATTGTAATAAAATGGTAAGTTAAACAAAACATACAACCAGGGTTAATGGGGTCCATAGACAGTTAAATAAGTTCTTTGTTCTTTGAAATGTACTACTTTGTTAATTTGCTAAGCAAATAGTTAACTTGAAAAGACTTCTCTCTTGCTTTTCTTTTTTTTTTTTTTTATATATATATTTTTTATTGATTTTTTACAGAGAGGAAGGGAGAGAGATAGAGAGCCAGAAACATCGATGAGAAAGAAACATCGATCAGCTGCCTCCTGCACATCTCCCACTAGGGATATGCCTGCAACCCAGGTACATGCCCTTGACCGGAATCGAACCTGGGACCTTTCAGTCCGCAGACCGACGCTCTATCCACTGAGCCAAACCAGTTTTGGCTCTCTTGCTTTTCTTACAAGCAATCTCAGAACCAAACAACCTTGGAACATAGCCAGCCTTTGTTTTAGCCTTTAAATCTACCCCAGAACTGCAAAATTTCAATTTAATACAGCGAATTTACAACCCAGGTAAGAGCAACTGATAGACAGAAATTTTTATTAGCTAAGTGGGCTGATTCCCTCTGTAACAGTGAGCAAAAGACTCTGAGAAAAATAAATCTCGCAGCTGCTAGAGACTTTTGCAGACCATCATGGGTCCAGCCCGAACGTTTCGCCAGATGGATCAACAGAAATGCAGAATAAATCAAAGTAGCTCTCACTTCACACAGACCAGTTAATGAGCAGCCAAGACAGACAAATACCCATACTCACACTCAGTAGACTCGCTGAGCAGATAAATGGAACAATGTATAACTCCCCAGATGGGCGTGGGGCACTCCTGGCTCTCATGTCCCAGAACAGAATTATTGACCAATGTCTTGCTTTGCTGCGTCCCTTGGGAGCTTAGATTCATCTTCGCTAAGGTGCACCTGTATAAACTCCAGGCCGGGTCACCTCCAAGTGGGGAGTGAGTCACCATTATGACGAATCGTGGAACCTCATGTTGGGGCCCACTCGGACTCCATAACCAAAGTCGTGGAGCCACACAGAGGAGAGGAGAGGGCAGGCCATCTCCCTCCACACTCACACACTTTCACCAGACATTCACTCAGAGTTTAAACAATCTATCCAATTCCTGACTAATTCCCAATTCCTGACTAATTGCCTAAGGGAGCTCTATGGCTTCCCGGGAGGTGATCAAGCTCCCCTTCCACTCATTTGGAGTGGATCTGACTGATAGGGGGTTGATGAAGACGACTGACCCTGACCCATTGTGACAAAGACAAAGACAACAAATGTGAAAGGGGAAAATAAGACACCAACACAAAAGGCAGGTGAATGGTCAACAGCGGCCTTTGGTCGCCGTTCAAACCTTATTTATTTCCTTCAAAGTCCCGCTAAAGTGATCAAGGCCAAAATCATCCCCCACGAGGAATTCCAGGTGATGATGGCCAAGTATATCAGGAAATGTGTCTGTGTCTGATCCTCCATCCCCTCATCATTCATTATGCTCTGAGCTTCCGCATCCAATATCTTCAAAGATCCCCAGGTGATAGGAGGACCCTGGGGATCTTTGTTTTAGCCTTTAAATCTACCCCAGAACTGACGACGCCTCCACTGGGGTGTGTCCTGAAAGTTCACGATTGCAAACTCGGTCACAATTGTCTGCGCCTGGAACTTCATGGTAGGGCTTCACCTGCTTTGCTGGCAGCCACAAAGGTCCTGTAGGGAGAGAAACATAAGCATACCCTCTTCCCCAAGTTAGTAGCTCTACCGGACCCTTCCATATGGAGGACTCCTGGTCCCGATACCAGACTTTAGGGTGAGGCTTCTTTTCTTGAGGAATATAGTGCCTTTCAGCAGCTGTCTCCTCATGCTGCTGATTCAAAAAATTTAAAGAATAGATTGCCCTATTCAGTCTGTCTCTAGAGGTCATGCCTCTACTCCAATAATAGCAGCCTTAGGAATTCTTTGACCATGTTGAACTGCATATTGGGAGTTACTGATAATATTTAATGGAGAATTGGGAAAGTGTTGTAATGCTAAAATCAAAGTTCCAACCTACGCTCGCTGGGTGCTGGAATATCCTTTAGTAATAAATTTTTTCCAGCTTTCATGCTCATACCAGCAAACTCCAGCTATACCAGTCTTTCCAGAGCCATCAGTAAAAACAGTCATTGTATTCTCCATAGGAGTAAGAGAAATAACTCTAAAAGGTTGACACTGATCATGCTGAAAAAATTGTATCAGCTTATCACCAGGAAGTCTATACATGATTTCTCCCACTAAATCAGCCATAGCTACCTGACCATGTATACTATGATGAAGATGGCCTGGGTGAGGTTGTCATGGCCCCAGTGAGAGCGATACGGACAGGGCGGGGGCAACAGCGGCAGCCCGGCCACCATGCAGTCATCCTGAGGCAGCGTCGGCGGGAAGTCGGGGGGCATTGTCATCTCGCCGTTCCGCCTGGAGGAGCTCACCAACTGCCCGGCCTAGCAGTTGATAACAAACCAGAGGATAGACATCTAGGGGTCATACAGCAGCCACGCACCTGGAGCTTGTAGTTTGCTATAGCTTCCACAGATGCGCTCCCACAAACAGAGAACAAAGACAAAATAAACCAGACAAATGCAACCTAAGGTTACCCAAACCAGGACCCCCAAATGCCATTGCATCGGGTGGTCAGACTCCGAGGTTCCACTGCATCCAGCCCTCTTTTGAGTCCTAACGGGAACGTTCCACAGACAGATACCAGATTCTTACCTCCCCGCTGGAGGTCCAGGTGGCTCGTCATTTTTGGATTGTAGTGTTGGAAGGAAAACACTATGCCTCCCTGTGGTCCAGGACGGAGACTGGAGTGTCCTCGCCTGGGGCAGCAGGGGTGTCCACCAGCAACTCAGCTGGAGTGGATCTCACTGGAGCCTCCAAATGTAATGGGGCGACCTGCGGAGACGACCACCAGGGACTCAGGTCAAGATTTAGGAGCCATTATTAAGCTGGCCAGTGACTACAGTTACAGCACCCTGCCGAAGCAAAGGCTGAACTGCAGCGCCAACTGCAGGAGTTACAGTGTTTTATTTGCAAAAACCACAAAGTTATAAAACCTTAGTTCCCGACACAGTACAGTATCAGTACCTTCCTAGCTATGTGTACTAGGAACAGAGAGTACAACATGCTGGGAAGGGGCCATGAGACCATATCTCAAGGCCTGGCCTGATGTCAGTACCTTCCTATCTATGTATTTTAGGAACGACAGCACAGCGCGCCCCGTCTGGCCGAAGCGCCAGATATGCAGCCCAGCACAACCCTCAGCTGTTTGCCTCCAACCTCTGGTTCATCTCCCATACCACTGACCAGCCTTCCTGGAGCTCCTCACCTTCAAGTTGGCCGTGGTCCTGATTTTTGACCTTTTGTGATCTTCCTTCTTGGAAGATGACCCACAGCACACAAACTTTAATAGAAACTGGAAGGCCCTCCTAGCCACCTCCTGCCAGGCCGGGGAGCTTCTATGGGCGTCTCCCCCACTGCTGCTGGTGGTGCTGCTGCTGCTGCTCTCGCTGCTGCGGCCAATCTCAATGGAATACCTGATGTCTTTAATGGAGGTATCTGTGCTGGACTCTGAGGCAGTGGTGGTCATGGTGTCCAGGGTGGGTTGGGTAGTGGTCACCCTCAACCTCAGGCTCTTGGTCTTCTTGTCAAATAGGCGAGCACCCTCTTGGCTCGAGGCTGTGGTACTGGAGCTACTGGTGTAAGAGGTACGGAAAGGCTTTACCCTGATTTTGCGGCCTGGCATCTTTGTTTTCATCGTTCTGAGGATCAGGTATGTGCCCATCAAATGATCGAATTTTCTTTGTGCTAGTGATTCTTGGATGTAGTCGGGTATACAGCCGAGGCTAAGCATCGTTTTCATTATTTGCGGGTCCAACTCACCCCTTGGCGGCTCCCTGTATGGCTTCAGAATTTTCTTGTGGCCCTTGTTGACCCACGGGTCTTTCATCACATCTTCCATGGTTGGTCTCTTGTTAGGGTCTACAGTGAGTAATTTTCTTAGAAGTCTTTGAACCCCCCCTGACATAAAGCTTGGTACCTGGTAGTTTCCACTCAGTATCTGACTCTTCACCTCAGCAATGTTGTCCCCCGCAAACGGTGTCACCCCTGTTAGTATCTTGTATAATAATACCCCCAAACTCCACACGTCCACTTTTCGGCCATCATAGATGTTCCTCCTTAAAATTTCTGGGGCCGAGTAATCTATGGAGCCACAGAAGGTGTACTGCGTATCTTCTCTCACCTGCGTGCTAAAATGAAAGTCGGATAACTTGATAGTGTCATCAACCTCTATGAGGATGTTGTCTGGTGTCAGGTCCCTGTGGATCACGCCTTTCTGGTGGCAGTGTTGGACCGCGGATACTACCTGCCGGAACACGGTGCGGGCTTCTCCCTCGTCCATTGCGCCGTTTTCCTCCAGGTATTCTAGGAGGTTTCCTCCCCCAACGTGCTCCATTACTAAAAAATACTTGTCAGGGGTGACAAGCACCTCAAAGAGTTTGGTTATGTTGGGGTGACTCACCCTTTTGAAGCAGTGCACTTCCTCAAAAAATCTAGATATGCCCTTCCGCCTAATAGCCTTTATGACCACATGTGCCCCGGTTAGTATGTGCTGAGCCCAACGCACCTCCGAAGACGGCCCCTTTTTGATGGTTTTGAGGAGCAGATACTCTCCGATGTAGTGTTCCCTGTGGGATGAATGGGATGAACAGATATTAAACATGGCACCGTAAATCAGAGAACAAAAAGAAAAAGAAAAATAGCCAAAACAGGCTAAGGAGTCCAAGTCCAACAGGTCACCAAAATCAGCTTCCTGGGCTATAACGGACAAAAACCTGTGCTTGCTCAGGGTCTTATATAGGAGTGGTTTGAAATTCCATCACAGTGGTGCCTTATGAGTTCAGAACAAGAAATGGACCAACGACGGCTGGGGCGTGGTTTGCAATTCCCTCACAATGGCACCTTGTGAGGTCAGAGCAAAAAATGGACCAATGACAGCTGGGATGTGGTTTGCAATTTCATCACAATGGTGCCTTATGAGGTCATTTCAGGAAACGGACCAAACACGGCTGGGGATAAACTACAGTGATTTTCTAAGTTTTTGGTCTCATCATCTTATACTCTGGGAAAAACAAAAAGACAACCCACAAAGAGCTTTTTGTTTATGTAAGATTTAAATATTACTATTTACTTTATTAGAAATGAAAATCTGTAAGATGCACGTGCACAAATACAAAGGAAAAGCCTGACTGATTCTCATGCTCTAGGCATCAGTTCAGATGTCACCTGCTTAGAGAAGATGTCCCTGATCCATCCATTCCTACCTTCCTCACCCAGCTGGTTAGGGTTGTCGTCTTCATAGCACTGACCACAGTGTGGCTGATTCTTGTTTACTGTCAGTCCTTCCCATGAAGGGAGGAGCATGACTAGTGTTCCTGTGTCTAGCACAGTGAGTGGCAACAAAACAAATATTTAATAAATGTTTTTTCACTGGATTAACAGAAGAGTTTGGGGGAACAAAAGAAAATATGGCCAACTACTTCTTTCATCAAAGTGATTCATAAAAAGATCTTCAAAAACTCAGCTTTTGGGGCAGATAAGATAGGACCGAGGAGGGCTGAAGTTTTGGTTTCCAGGTATGTGTGTACTCAGTGAGGCTGAGGAAAGGCCACTGTTGGAGCCTTGCTGTAAAGATTAAAGGAGATGGTGTGTTCCTCCAATGGTACTTGCTAAGGATGCAGTAAATTTGGGTCCAGCTACAGGTATTTTTACATCTTGAATATCCATTTCCAGAGGACACAAAGGACTTCTCAGGTGACCCTAAATAGGCCATTTACATAAATCCCCGTGTTACTTAAATGAACCATCTCTGTGGACAGAAGTGATGCTGAGGCTTAGTCATTTGCATTTATAAATACACTGAAATAGCTGGATGAAAGAATTTCTGCTGAGGTACAAAATATGTTGGGGCAAATTCTACCCTTTCTGGAGGCAGAGACGGACCAGGCAGGCTTGAGGACATTTAGGGGAAGCCTCTGGCATATTATGTTTCAAACTAACCACTTTGAGTACATTGGGTGTTTTAACCACATGTATAACTTATTATTCTAGTAATTACTTTCCTTTAACATTTCCCTCCTAAAATCTCAGCTCTGTGTATAGGGAATCTTTAGAGGGAGCCTGTGAGCTTTTAGATTGTGATTTTTACCTACATCAGTGACACTGAGCTCCTCAGCATGACAGTCTCTGATGTTGAGCTGATTGGGACCCAGATGGGGACAGACATCTCATCAATTCTAGACAGATATTCACAAGCTCCAGTCAGAGATTAGAATAAGCTCAGAAAGGAGGACTGGGAAAATTTGAAAAGAAGCTGCCAGTCTATGAGTTAGTTATATCCATTTATAAAAATGGTCTTAATAGTTGCTTAAGAAATAATACCAATAGAATAGAATATTTTCTTAGCATAATGATCTCTTTCAGCAAGGTAAATACAGACTCAAAGATAAGACTTTTAATGTGCCTGACCAGCGTGGCTCAGTGGTTGAGCGTCGACCTATGAACTATGAGGTCACAGTTCAATTCCAGGTCAGGGCACATGTCTGGGTGTTGGGTTGGTCCCCAGTAGGGGGCATGCAAGGGATAGCCAATCAATAATTCTCATTCATCATTGATGATTCTATCTCCCTCTCCCTTCCTCTCTGGAATCAATAAAATAGATTTTTTTCTAAAAAAAAAATACATTTGATGTAACACTATCAAGGGAAAAGCCAAGCTCAAAAAAGAAAGAAACTGGCAATCATCTTTTTCAATACACTAGTACCCTAAAACTTATATGTTTGTGATTGTGCCCAAGTGAGCATATAGCTTTTTTTTATGTTTTTCTTGACCTTGTAGTTTTCTTACTTTAGGATGGAGGTGGGCAATAAGTAATTTTACTACTTGTTCTCAGGAGTAAGAAGGATTTTTTGCTTTGCTGTGCCTGGCTCTTCCTGAAGGAGGACTGAGTTTCTTGACCCTTTCAATGGATCCAGATAGGTCCTAGGAACTGCTCCTTCAGACCTTGATGCTCTTTTCTGTTCATCATATCTTCTGGGGTTTTCTTTACCTGCTTTACCTCCAAAATATCTTCTTCCTCAGGAGGTAGCAGGGCTCCTTCTTGCTGCTCAGAGGCCATGCAAGTTTGCGTTCTTTCCAGGGCCTGTCCCCGCACGTGTCCATGAGCCCACACCAGCTCATTACGGGGTGCTTCCTCAACCTCAGCCAAGGTTCTGGTTAGATGAGGACCGCGCATGGAGCCACAGGAGAGGTTTCCCCCATCCACCCTTAGGACTTAGGATTTCTTCTTGTCTCCTCATCCATGAACTGTGTGAATGCCGTGGGGCCATTCTACTCATTGGCCCCTAAGTGCCCTAGCTCATATTTCCTCTTTTTGTGCCAAAGTTTTCTCAGCTTTTGAACTAGTTATCTTAACAGATGCCTATCACTCTATGCTAGCTGAAAAGATGGAATGCAAAGACCCTAGGGACTGACATGTAAAATGTCCCTCTGATTGATCACTTTGATAATATAGTGTTGAATATTGTAACATGACAGAAAACAGTTGAACCACCAAACGACTCTGGGTAAGGCATCCTAGACAGATACTAAGGTGCTACCAAAAAATGTTTGGAATTTCAAATTATGTGGCTTTTGGTGACGGAACACCTTTGTGTTCTGTTTGATTGGAAAGAGTCCAATGGTTTTGGCTTGAAAGAAAGCAACTCAAGGGACCATCACTTTTACCTACTCAGCCAACATCAAATATTTATTGAACAACCACTAAGTGCAAAGCATGTTACACTACACATGCTAAGAAGACACATCTTTCTCTTCCAGGGAAGGCACGCTTTAAAGGATGAATCCAAACAAATGGAAATACTCATTTATTTTCAGTCTGTTATATAAGCACAAAGCAAATAGGCAGGTGTGGGATGTAAAAGGGCGCTCATTACAAGGTCTACAAATGGGCACATCTTTGCATCCAGCTACCGGTTCTGTAAATTGTCTCAGAGTCCCCTACATTTAAAAATGGCATCAAAATCCTGCAGGTTCTGTAGAAAAGAAATAAGATGTACCATTTATTTACTGTGATACTGATCAGGCAGCATCTATGTTCATGGCTAACCTGGAAACCTGTTGATTATTCTCATGATATGTTTAGTATCTTCTTCTATTCTCACCAAAAGTTTTTAGGGAGGAGTGTGGTCTGGATAAGGGCAGGGTTTGAGACAAATAGACTTGGGTTTGAGTCAAACTTCATCATTTACTATAGTCCTCTCTTTGCAAGTAAATGACTAAATCTTGCTTCCATTTCCTTATCTATAAAATAGATATGATACCATTGAATATATATAGTTGTGCAGGGGAAATGAGATCAAGCGAAAAAAATATATCTGTGTCCAGCTGCTTTGGCTCAGTGGCTGAGCGTTGACCTATGAACCAGGAGGTCACTGTTCGATTCCAGTTAGGGCACTTACAGGATTGCGGGCTCAATCCTTAGTTGGGGGAGGCAGAGTGCGGGGGGCAGCCAATCAATGATTCTCTCTCATCATTGATGTTTCTATGTCTCTCTCTCCCTTCCTCTCTAAAATCAATAAAAATGGATTTGAAAGGTATATCTGTAGAAAGCCTAAAAGCAATAAGTATTCAAGAAACATGAATAATTTTCCTATCCCTCCCACCCCCACCACTTGAATTAAAGTGAGTGAGTCAGTGAATGAAGGACACAGGACCTAACAATTGTGACCTCTTTCTCCTATGATTGTGCATATTGCACTTAAAGTTCATTTCAGTTTCATGGCAACTATATTATCTCTTGTGTTGTTTACTGTTGTAATCATACTACACATTGGTTCTACATTTAACGATACTAGATACTGTCTCCCCAGCTGAATGAAAGGTCCTTGAGCATGAGACTTGTTAGAATCTTTCGTACATGCACTTTTAGGTTATATTTAAAGTGCTCAGTAAGTATTTTTCTAATGATTAACTCGAATAACATGATAAATGCCTATGATCAGACCATGATACCTACCTACTTATTTCTAGTTTTCGAAGCCAGGCACTACAGTGTACAGGTACTTATTGAAGGTCCAGTGTATGTAAGACACTGTCTTTTATACAGCATTTCTCCCAGCCTCACTGGCCATTGTGTCACAGTCCTACTCATTTTAGCATTTCTAGATGCAGCATTGTGTCCTGTTGCACAAAAGCATTTCCTACATACATTTGACGCATAGAATAATATATAAACGTTTAGACAATGGAAACACTTGAGTATAGGTCTATGAATTAAATAGATGCACATATAGTCAAGGGGAAAATATGTTTACAGATGATCTAAACAGCTCAGGCAATCCAGGTCTTTTGAAGCTCTTTTAGCTTGGGGTGGGGATGAGCCAAGCATTGCATCATAATAAGATGACTCACAAAAGTCTGACAAGAAATTATGTCTAAACCTCTGTGGATTACTCCATGGGATAAAGAGAGAAAAATGGTTGTTTGGAATTATTTTAGGATTTGTAAACTTATTTATGTTAGTGGGACAAGGGAAAACAAAAAATGTAGGAAAAACAATGAGTACTATGCCAATGAACTGATAACACTGTTCACGTTCTAAGAGATAATCTTTAAAAGCAGGACCTGAATTGAAGAACACGTTTACTAGCAGCTAATCTTGCG